ATATAAAATAACTCATCCACCCATAACAAACAAGGCTTATCCTAAAACGAAACATTCAAGGTTATACCACCTTAGTCAAAGAGACAATCCGATACACACGACGAACCTGAAGAAGACTGGCGACTGTAATCATCTTCGTGCACTTAAAAAAAATGTACCATGATATAAATTGGGCCTTCGTGGATTCTCATATCCAAAGAATGAATTTCAGACAAACCTTTGGGGGTGAGGTGACTATATTGCATCAATCGACTATGACGAACATTATGGTAAATGGGCACCTCTTACACCCGTTTTCACTACAAAGATCGGTGAGACAAGGGGACCCTATAACGCCACTTATCTTTGTCATAGTAATGCAGATCTTAGCAACAACCATTAAATCGAATCAAGAAATTCAGAGGGTGACATTTTATGAGATTCCCCGATACCTTATGCGCGTCACCTTATTATTTATTGATCTTACGATCCTACTGAAAGCGTTGTAGGACTCAATCAGAATGTTGGCAAATACTATAATTTTTTTTTTTTTTTAGTCACTGATATGTCAATTAACTATGGTGCCATAATAGAGGGATGGTGACTGAATTAAAATGATATCGATTCAAACCAAATGAGAAAGGGATCCGGGTGTTGGGTGTTAGACTGACCTCTCTCGGCCCTCCTCATGATTATGGGGAATTTTGGGTGGACATAACACTGAAAAGAATGACGCAATGGAAAGGGTTCCACACATCGCTAGTGGGAAGGACCTTGGCCGTAAACAACCTAGTACAAAGCGGTAATTGATCACATTGTTTCAAGTACCTACAAACAATAAGGGCAACCATCACAGCCTATTTGTGAAAGAGTGACAGGAAGGTTAACAAATGACTAAAGAGGGAAGCATGAAAATATATAGTTACCAAACTATTTTTGGCTCGTTGTAGGGAAAGACCCAATACGACGGGAGGGCGACTCTACTATAGCGACCAAACGTTATACACACATTGAGCCGCTTTGAAAAAACTTTATCCGCCTCTAGCGTAGGATGAGCCCTACATAACAAAAGCCACCACTACGGTGACTCAAAGTGTGGAGACAATCATTTTCGACAATCCGATTATCCTCAACCAAAAGAGGATGCCATTCTCCCTCCACAATAAGTCCAATGAGTTTCATAGGTGAATAAGGGGATCTTCACCTTAGGCGACTTGTAAGATTTCAAAGAAGAGTTTTGGAAGAAGGAAGAACAATTGAAACACTGCACAAATAATATGCGGGATGTAGCCTACTAAATATTGTTCCCTTGGAATGGTTACATGGGTGGTTATTGTCAAAGACCTGCCACTTCCAATCTCAGTTTACCCGGTGCGATATTTAAAATTTTTAGATTAATTTTCAAGAAGATGCCAGCAAAGGGAAGTGAGCTCCGTGCGTATGACCTACATTTCCTAGGAGTAAGATGGACCAAGTTAATAAGCAATGGAAGGATGGACTCGGTCAAGAGGATACCCTGGGTCAGGGCCTCATGAGAAATTGAGTGGTTGGAGACTACAACAAAGGTTGGTATGCTTTTTGCAGCAACACGCTGATCGACCAACTCCCCTTTGACCCTGACGAATGAAGCTGACTGAACAAGAAGAAGGATATGCAAATCAAACTCTAACAATGTACCGTAAAGGATGGATATAGGACCATCCATGAAAACTATGAAAGTCATGGTATCATCAAACAAAGGTGGACTAAGGACTCCTCTCTCACACCTCAGGATTTGCACTCCTTTGACTGCAGCCCCAGATACACCCACCTTATTCCTACATCACAAAAGGCGCTACAATGACAAATACTCTATGGACGTCTCCCTGCTCCGGACTGCTTTGTCTCCAAGGCAAACCTGAAGCAAGAAGGCCAACTCTTACCGCTCTGCCAATACTGTGACAAGTCTTCCCCACTGACAAGGGCGACTGCAGAACAATGCCTACTACCTTTTTCCCTCCAAATACAACATACAATCATTATAGCCGTATTTAGACTTAAAGATAAACAAAATACAGCTATAAAGACCATACGTCAGTTGATTCCAGTTGATTCCAGTACAACGCGTTGGGGTAGGTTTTAAGCAAAAGCTACGTTTCAAAAAATTGTGGCTTGTTAACGGGCACGACTTTAGGAAGTACTGGTGGTTTAAATGGATTAGTTGGAGACAAAACAAACGGGAATGGAATTGTAAGCAGGAGGCCTCAACCAGTTCGTTTGTTTTTGGCGTGCACCACGATTCCAGCCCCTGAGAAAAGTTATGGTGGTCTAATTATGGACATCTATCACATGGCAACCTCAGGCCACAACAATTTTTTCAACACCACGCTCTATTATTCCGGATATATATCGATAGGTTTGGAAAGAGGCTTGGATAAGCCCTGGTCAAGGAAAACAAACAAAACAAAAGGGGTTTGGGAAGAGGCTTGGATACTAAGCTGTGGTTTCTATATGCGGTCCCCAGCCTTTTGCCGCAGCAAATCAGACCGAGGAATGTGATTTCCAGTTGCTGTCCTTTCACACTGCGATGGGGCCCAACGAAAAGGTACCAGGAAAGTTACAGGTCATGAGGAAGGACAGAAATAGACATGTATGCTTTGAAGGACAATCTTAGCCCAGCCAGAATGCACATGGGACCTGTACAGCCAGGTGAAGATCATGCACTTGGGCATGTGCCCATCCAGGTGCTTCCCCCCGCCTTTTTCTGAAACCCCACTTCCCCCAACCCTCTTTTTGCCGAGGCGGAAAAGACCTGCGCGCCACGCTTTGCCAAAGCGCCAGCACAATGTTTTACTTTTTTTTTTTTTTTTTTTTTTTTTTGCTAAGTGCTGCCAGGCATTTTGGTCCATTGGCACTGTTCACCCGTAGAATGCATTTTGTAGCAAATTGGCGTTTTGAGTTTGCCTGTGAAAGGTAGAGATGGTCGACAAGGGCGATGGCGTTCAGCTATCATCTTCAAACTGACTGGCCCCAGGTAAATTCAGACTTACTTGCTCATGTGAGTTGGTTGGGATTCGAACTGAAGTCTGTATTTTTCAACAGTTCATGGGTGTACCAACTGAGCTAGACCCATTGGTATCATAATACTATCATTCCAATTTTAAGGGATGTCCCAAAGGACATGATCCCGGTGAATTTTGAAGGGGTTATTTCCTGCATTTTCCAAACTTAAATGGCCTGTCCAGGTACCATCCCCACAAAAGGACATGTCTTAGCTCACAAGGACTTCATTCAGGGTTTCTACTTCTGGATCTAAGAGGAGACACTTTTTGGGGGGGGGATGTAACTATGGCGCAGTCACGCAAACAGTTTGACAATGTACTTCAAGCCTTCCCCTGAACATAACACCCCCCCAAGTGACCCTACCAGACCCGAAACCTAGCTTGTATACGTTCAACATTTTCAGGCCTTTTGCCTGAAGTGCATTTTCAAACTCAAACCCTGACTGCACCGTAACTTTCTCCTTTTTTTTTCAAATGTATTCCCTCGGAATATCAATCAGGTACAGGAGCAGAGCTTTGTCGATATGGCCGGGACAATGGCGATTGTGAAAAAGGGTTGGAGGCCACGGGGTCAAGGTTGGTGTTCAGGGCTGGGGCACACTTGCAGTCTCTGTTTCTTTTTTTTCTTTTTTTCTTTCTGCGTATACAGAGGCTCTAATATTCGTGGGGAGCAGCATTTGCACTCCACTCGAAGTCTTGAGAGGACAGTTTTGTATGCACCTGACCCAAGTTCGCTCGGGTTCACCATAATTACCTCCAGGCCTCTTCTTTCCCATCGGTGATTATGCCCACCCCCAAACACCAACCTGCCGCAGACAATGACCTACTGGACACTGCCAGCATTTTCGGTCAGGTAGGCCGAGCCTTTTCGCGATACAATGTTAACTAGGACATCCTCGCATGTCGCCTGGTGGAGCACTGGTGGTTTAAACCACCAGTACACCAGGGCCTGGAGGTGCTAAACTGCGTGCCAAGCTTTGCCGAACCGCCGGCGGCACACTTTTTTTCTGTTTTCGCTGGCGCTACACCAGCCATTGTGGTCTGGTAGGCGTGAGGCATGGGGCCGTGTACTGGCAGTGTAAACCACTACTACCTCCCAGCGTCTTTTTGCCGGGGCAGAGTAGAATTGTGCGCCAAGCTTTGCCTGTCAATGCCTAAGCTCCAGCTTGACCTTTTTTCTTTTGTTTTGGCTGGTGCCGCCAGCCATTTTGGTCCGGTGGTGGCACCCGGCCTCCGAAGACTGCGCTACAGGTTATAACTTCGATTTAGACTTCGCCTGTGAAGGGTGTTGGTGGTTTAAGCCAGCACAAACCCATTACCACTGGAAGCTAACATTCAAGGAGCAAAAGAACTTCACACCAATGCCTCCATAATTGGGCTCCATGCACTTTTTCTCCTACGGTAGATACACAACAAGCACTTGGTGAAACCTGGACCAAGACAAATGTCCAGTTTGCAAAATAGTGCAGCCCTTTTTCCAAAACCTAGTTTTCAGCAAAACACAGACCTATGACTTTTGTGTCACTACAACACAACTAAAAGCATGTTTTCGGGAAACAATAGAAGCTTAGGAGACAAACATCAGCAGAAAAATAGGTATTCAAAAACTCTGGAGGACATCCATCAGTATGGTTGGAACGATGGATGAACCCCCAGCAGACAACATACACGAGGAAATGGAAAGACATGGCTCACTGCCTGTTTTCCCAGGGACAATTATTGTAGCATATTTTTATTTATTTACAACCTTTCACTGTTCGAATTGTGCAAAGGGCACAAGAGCAAAGGAGCCAATCCTGAAATGCCACCATCAAACCTCTCGCCGCAGAAGCATAAAAACGCAGATCGTCCGCTACCCCCTCCGCCTCCGCCATCTTCCCTGTCGGCGCCCCCATCATTCGGTTACGTAATTGAGTCTCTCTTACGTTTGATTACATAATCGATTTGATTACGGGGAAGATGGCAGAGATAGGGGAGAGGCGGCGGTGGGAGGGGAGATGTCAGCGGCCGGGTAGATGGCCGCAGTGGAAGGGGAGATGGCGGCGGCGGAGGAGGAGATAATAGTGGTGGGAAAGATAGCGGGGAGGGGGAACCCTTGTTGCTGCCACGATCTTCCCCGCCACCACAATCTCCCGCTCCGCCTCCACAATCTCCTGCTCCGCCATCCCTCCCTCCACCTATGTCATCTTCGCCGCTGCCACCATCTCCCCATTTGCTCCGGTGTTTCCCCCTCCGCCATCTCCCTATTCGCCTCCACCATTTTCCCTGCCGCCGCTGCCATAGTGGTGGCGGGGCAAATGGCGGCAGCGAGGAAGATGGTGGGGGCAGAGGAGGGGATGGAAGCAGTGGGGAAAATGGCGGATCTTGGCGGTGGAGTCGGGGGAGATGGCAGCGGCTGGGGAGATGGAGGCGGCGGGGAAGGATGGCGGCGAGGGAGAAGGAGGTGGCGGCGGGGAAGATGGTTGCAGGGGGGGATGGCAAAGATGGAGGAGATGGCCGTGGCGCCTCTGTTTCCTCTGCCGCCGCCTCCATTTCCTCCATCGCCGCCGCCATCTCCCCAACACTGCCGCCATTTCCCCCATGTCTGCGCCATCTTCCCCTCGACCGCCATCTCCCCCTACACACCCGTCATCTTCCCTGCCTCGGCCATCTTTCTCGGTGCCACCGTCATTTCACCCTTCGCGGTGGCGACGGGGGAGATGGCGGCAGCAGGGGAGATGGCTGAGGTGGCGGGGGAGATGGCTGAGGCGGGGGGGGGAAATGGCAGAGGCGGAGGGGGAGATGGCACGACGGCATCAGGGAGATGGCTTAGGGGGAGATGGCAGCGGCGGGGGAGATGCTGTGTGTGTGTGTGTATGTCATCGCCACAGGGCCCGGCTTTGCGCCACGTGGCGGAAAGACATCGATTATGTAATCAATTTCGTTTTCACAAAAGGCAAAAAACGCGTGCATAGAAATGTAATCGATTGTTTTTCAGCATATGCCAAATAGAATTCGATGTAATCAATTCTATTTTTGCACAGGCAAAAAAAAAAAAAAAAAAAAAAGTGTAAAAATCTGAGAAAAACAACTGTTGTGCAGCGTCCCAATGCAAGCAAGATTTGCCTGAGCACCATCCCGAAATTTGTATTCAAATCCTGGGAAAAAACAAAAACCGAAAAACAAACGACAGGGAGAAAGTCCGAGAAACCTCTCCTCAAACCTGCGTTTTTTGTTTTCCGTTTTTTCCCCCCCCTTAAGATTGAGTGAGAAATTTTGGATGGCGCACAGGCAAATGTTGCTTGTATTGGGATGCTGCACAACATATATTTTGTTCAGATTTTTTTGAGTTTCTTTTCCCCCTTTCCTGCCTGTGCAAAAGCAAAATCGATTACGTAATTGATTCTATTTGGCATATGCTGAAATACAATCGATTACATAATCGATTTCATTTCTACACACGCATTTTTTTGCCTGCTGCAAATTGAAATCGATTACGTAATTGATTCATTTCCGAACAGTGGTGTAAAGTCGAGCCATGTGGCGATGACATAGACACACACACACACAAACAAACCATCTCCCCTGCCACCACTGTCTCCCCCGTTGCTGCCGCAAAGGGTGAGATGACGACAAGGGGGGGGATGGCGGCGGCACACGGAAATATGGTGGAGGCAGGGAAGATGACGGCAGCATAGTGGGAGATGGCTGCGGAGAGGAAGATGGTGGTAGAGACGGGGAAAATGGCGGTAGTGTTGGGGAGATGGCGGAGGCAGGGAGGATGGAGGTGTCGACAGGGAAAATGGAGGCAGCCGCGGGGGGGATTGAGATGCCGCAGCCATCTCCGCCATCTCTGCCGTCTTCTCCGCCGCTGCCCCCAACCTCCCCCACCGCCGCCAACCTCCCCTGCCGCTTCCATCTCCCCAATCACTGCCATCTCCCCCACCTCCACCACCAGCTTCCCCACTGCTTTCATCTCCCCCTCTGCATCCGGCGTCTCCACCTCTCCCATCTAACCCTCCTCCTCCGCCATCTTCCTCTCCGCCATCTGCCCCGCTATTGCCATGGCAGCAGGGGCAGAGAAGGCGGAGGCGAAGTGGGAGATGGTGGACCAGGAGACGCTGGAGCGAAAGGGGAGATGTTGGCGGCGGGGAAGATTATGTAGGTGATTGGAGAGATGGTGGCGGGGGAAACGGTGGAGGTGGAGCGGGAGATAGCAGCGGTGAGGAAGATCGTGGTGGCAGCGAGAATCCCCGCCACCGCTATCTTCCCTACCGCTGCTATCTTCTCCTCGCCCGCCTCTTCCCTTGCCCCTGCCAACATCTGCCCCGCTGTTGCCATCTCCAACCCCACCGCCGCCATCGCCCCTGCCTCTGCCTTCCCTGTACCCGATTCGATTGCGTAATTGAATCGATTGCATAATCGACTCGATTATGTAATCGAATCGATTACATAATTGATTCGATTACGCAACCGATTTGATTACGTAATCGGAGGCAAGCGAGACTCGATTACGTAATTGAATCATGGGGGCGGCAACAGGGAAGATGGCGGAGGCAGAGGGGGAGATGGCGGTAGAGGAGAAGATGGTGGCGGCAGTGGGGGAGATGATGGCAGTGGAGATGACATTGCGGCGGAGATGGTGGCAGCCATAGGGGAGATGGCGGTGACAAACAGGGAGATGATGGGTGCGGTAACAGGAGCGATGGCAGAGAAAAAGATCGCAGAGGTAGGCGGGGAGATGGCGGCGGCGGGGGAGATGGAGGCGGCGATGGGCGATCTTGGGGGTGGAGCCGGTGGTAACAAGGGAAATAGCATCGGCGACAGAGATCGCGGTGGCGACAAGGTAGATGGTAGAGAGAGGGGGGGAAGTGGAGGTGGGGGTGATGTCGGGGCCTATGGCCTCTCGTGCGCCCCTCCCTCGTCACGGGTTCGTGTTGCTAGCGCTGTTGTCAACCAGCAGTCTCTCGTCACCTGTAAGATGCTGTTAGAGGAAACCGACCGCGCTGGTGGGGCTTGCCCACCTCCAGAGGGGTTGGTCCCTTCGGCAACCCTTCCTTCTTCCAAACGTCAATATGGTTGCGCCCAGGCAAGGTCTTGCACCCTCCCCAGGGTCGACGCAGCAGCAGCCTTTGTAGAAGAGGAAGAAGGCACTAGGTGGCAGGGGCCTAGAGGGACAATGGCAACGTTTCACAGCAAGTTGAGCAGGCAACTGCCTCACAAGATCCTTCGGTTTTCTTTGCAGAGTGGACTTTGATTGAGCGGGAGGGCTACGAAGGGAGTGTCAAGGTATTATCCTGTGACATGCTCCAGCTGAGTGCCAAACTGGAGGACAGGTTCCCTTCGCCCTCAGCAACTTGGACTTCCTTTGCGCCTATGGTGCAGATGACACTGTGGATGTTAGGGAACGCTTCACAAAGCATAAGATAGAGGTTAATCCTGAGAACTTGAAGCAGGTTACCTGTTCTTCATACAGGGTTCTTGCTGGGGCCTCTGCTCTACTCAAATGTTTGGTGATTCTAAATCTACATTTTCAAATTATTGCATTGTAGGGTGGACTGGGGTATCTCGATGGCTCCCCATCTCGTTGTTCTTGCTGCCCTCCTGAATCTACAGTCGATCCTCGAACGTGTCTAGCCAGATCGACAAATGACAAAGGGCCTCACTCCACTACACAACACTCCACATGCATTTGGACGCTTTCTAGAACTTAATCATACTACCTACCTGCTGGTCCCATCTTGTTTTGGGGGTTTCCATAGTGACACTGGAACTAGAGAACCCCACCAGCTTCAGTTTAACGACTCGGATTCAAGGTTGACCTGCTGGGGACGCGCAATGTAGTGACTCATTGGGAGTGAGGCCCTTTATCATTTGTAGGAAGGCCCTTTGTCATTTCTAGTGAGGCCCTTTGTCATTTATAGCGACTCATCAGAAACCTCTCCCGCCGAAGTATGCGTTTGCTACAGACAACGAGATGCTGTGTAGATATCAGAAACCCCTCCCGATGTGAGAGGAGTGGCTCATCGGGAAGTTCTCCATAACCCAACGACTTGTACATTCTAGATGCTTTTCTTGCAGTCAGGGACGACAGTTGTTATTACACTCCTCTCCAAGAGCAAGTGCTGGCTGTGGAGATTGATCTTCGTTGTGAGAAGGCGATCAAGGCTACCGGTCATTATACCTGTATTTGGTGCAACTTTCAGTCCAGATACCGCAATGATTACCGGGCATTCCATTATTCGGGTGAAGACGGCAGGCTCGCAAAGCAGTTCCATTACGTACTTGGAATTGTTGCCTGAGGGAAATTAGGGCTAGGCTGCCTTATTAGAAACCGACGTCCTATTGTATGAGATGGCAGGTGCTAAGGCTGGCAGGCTCTCCATTTTGCTTGCTGTTATTTGTCGAACTGTCTTTTCATTCTTCCATATTTGACTTGCGCTACTGAAATATTTGCTTGCTCTTTTTTTTTTTTTTTTTTTTTTTTTTACAGAACTTCGACCATTCCATTATATGCTGGAAAACGGGTCCAGCGTCCCTTACATATGAACTGCAGCCATATGAGGCTGGGAAAAGCACGCCTGACTAATCCCATCCCCGACTGCAGCCAGAATTCAATGAAAACAACTCAAACCCTAGCTACTACTAACAAAGCCAGAATCAATCAAAGATTTACGCAAACCCTAACTACCAGTACCCAACCATTAAGAAACGAGCACGAATTGAGATTACTCAAACCGTAACTACTACTAACCAACCATTAAGAACCAAGCACAATTCAAAAAGTTCAATTCTAATGCTACTGAGCTTCCAACTAATCTCTGTTTTCATTTTTCCAATGTTCCAATTAGTATCCTGTAATCACTCGACAGTCACCACCAATTCCTAAGCACTGAAATTGCAATTCTCCTATTAAAACCACGCAAGCTAAGCAACCCGATTTTACAACACCAGTTAGAAGCAAACTAAACAAACCCAGTGCACAAGTTCAACAAACGAAATTACAGGATACAAAATCTACCCAATGAATTACTAAAGTCACAACCATTCTCGTAGCTAGGTAAATTCCCAACACGATAGCTAATTCCAGCGCTACAATTCTACAAATTCTACAGAAGGATATCCACGGCCATTGAACAATCATCTTGTCTTGTTCGGCACTCCCAGCGAAAAAGGGGGAGGGACGGTTACCCCTTCACCAAGTGATAGAGCCAGGTATCTGTACGCGCACTTGCCAATCCTCTCGTCCTTGCAGCTTCCCGTCGCCTCTCCACTGCTCCGTACCTCCCCGCAAGTCCAACAATCGACATGTCCATCTTCTGCAGTCATTAGGTTTCTGTATCTATAATCAGTGGGCAAAGCCCCTGACTAGGTGATAATTCTGGTATGAGACGACGCTCAGATCCCGCCCGGCCAACCACCTCACATCTGTCCCCATCCACCCATGATCAGCACAGGATTGCCGACCTAAGTCGACCGAGACCGGGCTATGGCAGGGGCATGGCTGTGCCCCCCCAAGGCGATACCCCCCGACGCCCTCGCGCCCATCTTCCCTTCTCGCCTCCGCCACCCCCGACTACAAGTTTGGGCTATGCGCGCTCCCCCGTAGCCCAAGCGCCGCCAGAAGCGACGCCCTAGCGCGCTGCGTTGATGCAATCCGCATTTGCCCTGCCTAAGCATGTTGTTTTGCCCTTTCCATATTTGCTTGTCTGTTCCGTTACCTGACCGAAAATACAGGTCTTGTGTGAGAACCTTGAAAACTGTTTTTTTCTAAAAAATTCCCGTAAAGCTTTCGAATTGGGGCCAGTTTTCCAGAAATCTCTACTTTTCACGAAAGTGCTTGTTACACATCATACAATCAGTTTTTTTATATTTTTTTTAGCTTTTTTCTTTATAATATTTCTGTTCTGCCAAGTGTCTGACGGGGGTCCTAGCCAGAGGATATATCTGCTGAAAAACAGGTCAGGCACATGTGTCGATAAAATGGGTTAAAGTTACCGTGAAACCACAAGTTTTTTTTTTTTTTTTTAGCAATAAGAAGATTGAGGCCGGGATCCTGGAAATCCCACCGAGGAAAACGGAACCAGACTGTGATGCTCTCCAGAATAGAATGGAGCCAGGACCATAAGGATCTGCTTGTTAACAAAACCAATAGGAAACTCGAAGCCGCGCCTCAGAGGCAGGGATGAGACGAAACGACGAAGGAGGGCTATGGCAACCATAAGGACGCTGAGCCTTCTCGGTTTCTGCCACAAAAAAAAGGGAAAAAAAAGGGTAAGCCAAAGGCAAACGCACCAGCTACCAACTGGCCAAATAGTAGAAATACAGTTGGTACACCCCCTGTACTGTTCAATTTCAAATACAGACCAGGTGCTGAGTTCGAACTCCACTGGAAGCAGACGAGCAAAATACTTACTGAAGTAATTCTGAATTACCCGGGGCCGGTCGGTTTGATGATCATGGGCCTGGTTCCACTACACACCGCATGCATAAAAGACAAAAAAATATGGCCATGTATCTGGGAGTGTTCTAGGAGACGATTCATTCTCAGTTCGCAGATTTGGTGAGTAGTGGAGCGGTCGTCGCCCTTCCAGAGACATCGGGTCTCGCTCCACTACTCTAGAAACCGCCCATTTCTTGAGCACGGCACCGCTCCACTTACTCTAGACGACAGGTCTGGAGTTCGGGTTCTTGAGCTGTCAGTGTCTACTCACGAAAATGGCCAGAATCGGTCGTCGCTCCACTACCTCATGAAACACACTCACGAAAGTGCATTTCTTGAGTTGTCAGAACCTCCTCTCCCGTGGCACTCTTGACGATTCGAGAGCTCCCGCCTGCAGCGGCGGGAATTTCAAGGGAGGCATCCAGGACCTTCGAAAGTTGAGCATTTTTATGGAGTGCACCTGGAGTCTGGGCAGACAGCAACGTGCTGGCCGTGTCGTGTAGCTCTCTCAAAGAGCGGTCCAACATCCGAGAGGCCGCCTTGAGTTTGACCTTCTAGAGTAAGTGGAGCGATGTTCTCTTTTCCAGTGGTTTCTAGAGTCTGACAGCTCTAGACTCACTCGCGAAAATCTTCGAGAGTCTAGAGTAGTGGAGCGAGACCCATCTTCAGCTTCTCTCCACCACTCTCCACATGCACAAAAAAACAAACAAGAGTGAACCCTCCGCTAGAACATGCCCAGACACACCACCAATTTAGCTTTTGTCTTTTGTGCAAGTCCTTATGCATGTCCTTTTTTTTTTCTATTTTTCTTTTTTTCCGTTTCTCCTTTTTTTTTTCTGCTTTTGTCGATTTCTTCCACCACTGGCACGTGGTGGTTTGTGTAGGGCCTGGCTCCACTACTCGCGAAATGTGGACATTGATAATGGGCCTCGCTGCACTACTCTCGACATCCACAGCAGACAAAAATCATGGCTATGTATCTTTCCATATTCCTT